TGATGAGGTGGTATGCTTAGGACCATGAGCAGTTCCTTTCCTTCTCCATACTCTTGTCTTCCCATCACTTTGGTACAAGTTGATCTTGGTCTCATCTGTCCATAGGATGTTGTTCCAGAACTGTGAAGGCTTTTTTAGATGTCGTTCGGCAAACTCTAATCTGGCCTTCCTGTTTTTGAGGCTCACCGTTGGTTTACATCTTGTGGTGAACCCTCTGTATTCACTCTGGTGAAGTCTTCTCTTGATTGGTGACTTTGACACACATACACCTACCTCCTGGAGAGTGTTCTTGATCTGGCCAACTGTTGTGAAGGGTGTTTTCTTCACCAGGGAAAGAATTCTTCGGTCATCCACCACAGTTGTTTTCCGTGGTCTTCCAGTTCTTTTGGTGTTGCTGAGCTCACCGGTGCATTCCTTCTTTTTAAGTTTTAAGTTTTATGTTCCAAACAGTTGTTTTGGGCCACACCTAATGTTTTTGCTATCTCTCTGATGGATTTGTTTTGTTTTTTTCAGCCTAATGATGGCTTGCTTCACTGATAGTGACAGCTCTTTGAATCTCATCTTGAGAGTTGACAGCAACAGATTCCAAATGCAAATAGCACACTTGAAATGAACTCTGGACCTTTTATCTGCTCATTGTAATTGGGATAATGAGGGAATAACACACACCTGGCCATAGAACAGCTGAGAAGCCAATTGTCCCATTACTTTTGGTCCCTAAACAAGTGGGAGGCACATATGCAAACTGTTGTAATTCCTACACCGTTCACCTGATTTGGATGTAAATACCCTCAAATTAAAGCTGACAGTCTTCAGTTAAAGCACATCTTGTTCGTTTCATTTCAAATCCATTGTGGTGGTGTATAGAGCCAAAAATGTTAGAATTGTGTCGATGTCCCAATATTTATGGACCTGACTGTATGTAGGGTTGAATTCCACCTTGTTGCAACGTCGCAGATCAGGCGATGCTGTGGAATTCCGTTCTGCCGCTGCAGCTCAAGGAGGGTGTGCTTTGCGGTGTGTAGGAATGGCTGAAATGCATGCAAAGTTTACGTGACATTTTAAGGATGTCTTGCAGTGGGATGGTGGATTTTAGGAACCGCTTGACAACCAGATTGAACACGTGAGCCATGCATGGCGCATGGCACAACCTTCCTTGACGCAGAGCAGACACCATGTTCTTTCCGTTGTCGGTCAACATGGTTCCGATTTTCAGTTTGTGCGGAGACAGCCATCTGTCGATTTCTCTGTTCATTACACTCAGAAGTTCCTCCCCTGTGTGACTACGTTCGCCAAGGCATACCAGGTGCAGCACAGCGTGACACCGTTGCGCCCTGCACATGTGATATGCCGGTCGGGTAATGGGACTTGGCACGGGGGTGGCGGCTGAGGACACGGCGGAAGAAGAGGTGGTAGAGGCGGACATCTTTGCTGGACCAAGGACGTGCAAACGTGGAGGCAAAAGCGGCGTGACCTGTCCAAGTTGCTGGTGCGGCTGTGCCGGCACCACGTTCACCCAGTGGGCCGTAAATGACATGTACTGTCCCTGACCGTAGTTACAGCTCCACACGTCGGCACTGCCGTGCACTTTGGCAGAGACCGACATGCTCAAAGACTGGCCCACCATCTCTTTTACATGTGAATGCAGGGCTGGCACTGCCTTTTTGGCAAAGAAATGCCGGCTTTGGCACTCTCCACCGCGGGCTCGGCAGAAGCCATCATTTCTCGGAAAGGTGCTGAGTCCACCACTTGGAAAGGGAGGGACTGCAGCACCAGCAACTTGGACAGGAGGACGTTCAGCTTCTGCACCGTCGGGTGCATGCTCGCAAACTGTTGTCTCTTGGAAAGGATTCCAAGAAAGACTGCTGACGGAATCCGTGAAGAGGAGTAGCAGGAGAAGGAGCATCTGAACGAGCGGAAGATGCCAACGAGCGACGACAACTCCCCTCAGCAGAGGTGTTGGAGCCTTGACTGGCTGATAGAGGGCGATTGACGTCGGGTGACGGAGCAAGTAACGGAGCGGGTGATGGAGCGGGGGCTGGGGCAGGCAGAACCACCGTATCTTTATCACGGTTTTCCCCAGGCCACCGAATGGCGACGCTGCATATGCTGACGCAACGCTGTAGTCCCAACATTGGCCCCCTGGCCACGCTTGACTTTCTGGCCACATAGTCTACATACGGCTACGTTTACTTCCTCGGGCGGCTTGACGAAAAATTGCCACACCGCCGAGTAGGAAACTTTGCCCCCGCTACTCCTCACTGGCTGACTGCTACTTCCTCCGTGCACACCGGCACCACTACTGGCCGTGGTGGTAGGCTGCAGTGGAGCTGGTGCTCTACTCCGTGGCCGTTTGGCTCCACTGACACTGCTGCGACCCTGCTGCCTCCTGGTCAACCCACCGACTGTTTTGCTCGCTGCCAAGCTGCCACCCTCTTCTCCTGATGATGCGGAAGCAATAGCCTGATGACGACGAGGCTGCCAAGTGCGATCAGCCTCATCATCATCAATTAGGGTCTCCGCGTCACTACTAGCCCCCTCGGCTGCGTGTGGGTCAGGAGACAGACCTGTCTCTAGACCGGCTACCGAGCCACTCTCCTCGCCAGTACTTCTTCGCCTGGCTGCTGAAGAGGCGGATGTCTCCCCCCGTTCCTGACCGCCCTCTGTTAGCTCTTCCTCACTGTACAGTGGGGCTGAGCCCACAGCATGCGATACTTCGCTTGGTGAGGGAAACACCAAAGGACAGGGGCAGGTCGAGGACACGTGATTTCAGTGGGCTTGCTCCCGGGCCATGCCAACTAACGGTTGTGTCTGACGTACCCACCGACCGTTGGCTGTAGGTGTCAGAGGTGACCTGGGAAGAGGAAGACGACCGAGTCAACCAATCGATGACGGCAGGGTTGTCGGTGGAGACACGACCGCTGGATGACACCGGGAGCACTGGCCTCTGGCTGCGACTAGTGCTGCCTCGACCCCTTCCTCTGCTGCCACGTCTGCTCGCTCCTGAAACATTGCCTCCTCTGCCACTCCTCTGCGTGTTGTCTGACATACTCTTTAATTCAATAAGCACCCCAAAAATAAAACCGGATTTAACTCTTTGAACGTACAATAGTGGTTGTGAAGCAGAAAGTCAGTTTATTTAGCACAATCGGTCAATTGCAGCTTGCCGTTGGCTGGAAACTGTACGTTTGTGTCACTGGAATGCACTAATCACCCAAAAAATATTACCGCCAGCCGGCGTGTAAATGGATTTAAACTCTTTCAACGTACAATAGTGGTTGTGAAGCAGAAAGTCAGTTTATTTTGCACAATCGACAAACTGCAGCACCAACTGTGCACGACAGCCACCAAAAAAAAAAAAAGGTGTATGTCACTTTAAATTTTCGATTCTTTGATAGCTGTGGCCCTAAGTAACGATTCTGTGTCCCTGAGTAACGATTCTGTGTCCCTGAGTAACGATTCTGTGTCCCTGAGTAACAATTCTGTGTCCCTGAGTAACGATTCTGTGTCCCTGAGTAACGATTCTGTGGCCCTAAAGTCTCTGTGGCCCTAACTCTGTCCCTCAATACACAGAGGTCTGTCTCTCTTGAATGACCGGAGGCTAATGGAGAATTCTAAGATGGCCACGATTTATAGCTCCACCATTACACAGTGCTGGCTGGCTGGCAGCTGATTGGCTAATGCGATCACATGTCATGATTCATGACTCATGAATGCATTATGGGTCAGCGCGCCTTGTCTGCGCGCCTTCCCAGAGATCCCCGCCCCATCTTCTCTGTCCATTTTCTCCTGTTGCCACACATGTCGCTGCCATTTTTGGGAAAATTCGATTCGTGCATCCGAAGTTTGCTAATCTTCGGATTCGTCGCGAATAGAATTTTTCCAAATGTTCGGAACGAATTCCACTTCGTCATGTTCGATTCGCTCATCTCTAGTGATTATATCTAGTAAACATATACCTAGTCCAGGGGTGGACTGACAACTCATGGGGCCCCCGGGCAATAGGGGATCATGGGGCCCCTGCAGGGGCGGACTGACCATTTGGAAACCCAGGGTCAGTAAGGGCCCCATGAGATGCCCTTGGTACCTTTTTCATAGGCTTTTTTTGAGTTTGGGCAAATACACAGGGGCCCCTTGATCCTCTATTGCCTGGGGGCCCCATGAGTTGTCAGTCCCCCCCTGGGTCCCTGTGTCCTTGCCCACAATCAAAAAAGCCTATAAAAAAAGGTACCAGGGGCATTTCATGGGGCCCCCTACTGACCCCGAGCCCTCGGGCAGTGTCCGAGTGCTCGAAAGGTCAGTCCGCCCCTGACCTAGTCTTTTCTTGCCTTTTTTTTTTTTTTACCAGCTATGTACCAAGTGCAATAATCCATGAACAGAAATCTGCAATTAACATTTCCCATTAAAAATCAATCTGACTGATTGCTACGGGAGACTGTACTTTGCAAACAGGGCTTCTATTTTTAGTCTTAATAAATATTCATAGGTACAGATAAAATTCCCGAATTATCACAACATAGTGAAGCAAAACAAAACAATGGTCCATGGAACTGCTTGCAGTAATCAGAAGGTTTATTAGGAAGAGAGACACAAAAAAATCAAAATTATCAGCTGATGCCTTGAAAGGTTTCACCAAAGTGCATAATCATAAGACTGTCTATGTTGCACGCCTTGCCAACCCTTTCTCTGCCACCACCAGGGGCGGACTGACAACTCATGGGGCCCCCGGGCAATAGGGGATCATGGAGCCCCTGTGTCCTTTCCCAAACTCCAAAAAGCCTATGAAAAATGTACCAGGGGCATCTCGTGGGGCCCCCTACTGACCCCGGGCCCTCGGGCAGTGCCCAAGTTTCCAAAATGGTCACCACTAGAGATGAGCGAAGTATTCAAAAATTCGAATCGGCTGATTCGGCGAATTCGAGGAATAAATTCGATTCGATGCGAATATATTCGCTGCGATTTTAACTTATAAAAGGGTGTTTCTAGGCTTCAGAGAGCCTTTATATTAGTGCAGAACACTGTACCTTTAATTTAAATGCCCTTGGAGTCTGCTGGGGAAGAGAAATAATACTGTCAGTCAGTATGACATGCAGATGAGTGCCTTCGATCTTAGAATCACCGCACACTTCACTCATTTGGGCAGTCACGGGGCCAAAACCAGAGTGTGGAGCCACAGTGTGGCGGTGGAGGCAGCAGCAATGGGAGGCCATACAGCACCCTATGACAAAAAATGTAACACACCAGCAGTGTGAGGAGACCTGAAAGTGGCACATGGCAGAGTGTGGCGATGGAGACAGCAGCAATGGGAGGCCGTACAGGGACCCATGACACACTCTGGACCTGGCAGCAGCATGAGGAGGCGGTACGGGGGCCCATGGCAGATTACGGGCCTGGCAGCAGCAATGAGAGGCCCGTAATCTGCCAGCACCCTATGACAAAAAATGGAACACACCAGCAGTGTGAGGAGACCTGAAAGTGGCACATGGCAGAGTGTGGCGATGGAGACAGCAGCAATGGGAGGCTGTACAGGGACCCATGAGAGACTCTGGACCTGGCAGCAGCATGAGGAGGCGGTACGGGGGCCCCATGGCAGATTACGGGCCTGGCAGCAGCAGTGGGAGGCCCGTAATCTGCCAGCACCCTATGACAAAAAATGGAACACACCAGCAGTGTGAGGAGACCTGAAAGTGGCACATGTTTGGGGCATGATTCATGGCGGATTTAGTCAGTCAGTTGTGTAAGGAACTGGTGGTTTGAAATCCAGACTAATCCACGCCTGATTCATTTTCACAAACGTGAGTCTCTCCACAGATATCTGTGTGACTTACGAGCCAATTTATATCCACCCAATATTAACCTCCCAAAATCATCAAAAAAATCAAAAAAATGGACACACACTGTCCCAAATATAAATAGGATCGCTAACACTCAACACACTACTACCTCTGTGTCCATAAAGTCAATAATTCATATTGTGTTGCGCTCCCAGTGAGAAAATCTGTGATATTAATATCTATTTACCCTTGGTGAACAAATATATAATCAGGGGATTTTACAAAAAATATATACAGAATAAAAAAAATATATATATTATTAAAAAATTTATATATATATAATCCACTGATGAAATTATAAATGTGGAAATAATATCCCCAGAAACAATAAGTGATAAATATTGTGTACTAAAACATAAATATAAATAAATCAATATGCATCATGATTGGTGAATAATCAAAAAATACAAATAACTTAAAATATATATATATGTACTGCAAATTAATTTATGATATTAATGTCCTTTAAATACAGTGACTTTGTGCTTGATTAAATCTTGATTTGGTGACTTATTGTGAATCCGTGACTCTCTTTGAATCCTTAATTAGTGAAGATGTATGCTCACCTCCTTATTAGCCTGCAATTAGGCTATACACACTTGTGGTTCACCTCCTATGGAACCTGCTTAGATGGAATTCCTCCTTTACAGATTGTAAAACGTGGATATCCGTTATCCTCAATTAGCCCATATGCGTTTTTCCATATGTGGGGACAAATTGCCAAACATAGTGTTTTGCTTTATTGCTCTCCAACAGATACACTCACATAAATAGTATGCGGTATAGGATGAATTGCTCAGCTCAAGTAATCCGCCAGCCGTCTAGCCATGCACTCGCCGTCTATAAAACACTCCGGCTCTCTCCGAGTGACACCGCAGCCCCACCATCAGGCTATCTCAACCCCCTGATGAAGCCACGTGACCAGTGGCGTAACGCGTAGGGGTGGGGCTGCGGTGTCACTCGGAGAGAGCCGAGTGTAAAATCCCCTCATTATATATTTGTTCACCAAGGGTAAATAGAGTTATTAATATCACAGATTTTCTCACTGGGAGCGCAACACAATATGAAATAGTGAGTCTCTCCACACTTTGGGTGGACAGTCGTGTCCTCCGCGGAGTTACAATACCTCCTGCTGCACTAAACACGCGCTCCGATGCCACGCTACTGGCCGGGCATGACAGCCTTTCAAGGGCAAATTCAGCTAGTTGGGGCCAAAGGTCAAGTTTCGTTGCCCAGTAGTCAAGGGGATTGTCTACCTCGGTTGGCAGGGTGCTGTCCAAGTAGGCCCAAGCCTGTTGTTTGAGGTCCTGCTCCAGGTCCACCTGATGCTGCTGCTGCTGCTGCGGCTGGTTAGTAGTTTCCTCACTGCGCTGGTGAAGAAAGCTACTCATCATCGACTGCAGACTGAGGCAGCCGCTGCTGGTGGAGCTGCCACTGCTCCTACCACCCCACCCCTCCCCTGCTGCCATGGCAGCGGAACGCGAGCGCACAGGGCCCACAGTGTCTGAGGATGGACGTTGGCGCAGAAAGGCAGAGACCAACTGACTACATAGGTGGTTTTTATAGTACGTTATTTTGGCCTCCCTCTCAGCAGGTGTGAAAAAGGCCACCATTTTTGAACGGTAGCGAGGGTCCAACAAGGTGGACAGCCAAAAGTCATCCCTCTGTCTGATGGTTATTATTCGGCTGTCGCTACGCAAGCAACCGAGCATGCTATGGGCCATTTGTGCCAAGGAATGCGAGGGACTCCCTGCCTCCATCTCCACAGCATACTGCCACGGTGCGTCTGGGTCCTCTGTCTCCTCCTCCTCCTCCTCTACCAGATGCTCCTGCTCCTCCACTCCTGTCCGCTGAGTGGAAAAAACCACCCATTTCACTCAATAATTCCTGAGCACAAATGTCCTCCTCTACCTCCTCCTCTTCTTCCTGTCCTGCCCCCACAGGGGTCATGTGGCGTTGAGATCTGTGCGCCACGTCTACCGCACCCTGACCAGCCATTGTTAACAGCATTTGTTCCAGGACGTGCAACAGAGGAATGACGTCGTTCATCCCATAGTCCTGCCGACTCACGAATAGCGTGGCCTCCTCAAAGGGCCTGAGCAAGCGGCAGGTGTCACGCATGAGCTGCCAATGGCTGACATCGAAGTTACACAGGGGAGTACCTTTATCCGCTTGTAACATCAGGAAATCGGTGATGGCCTTTCGCTGTTCGTAAAGGCGGTCTAACATGTGTAGGGTTGAATTCCACCTTGTTGCAACGTCGCAGATCAGGCGATGCTGTGGAATTCCGTTCTGCCGCTGCAGCTCAAGGAGGGTGTGCTTTGCGGTGTAGGAATGGCTGAAATGCATGCAAAGTTTACGTGACATTTTAAGGATGTCTTGCAGTGGGATGGTGGATTTTAGGAACCGCTTGACAACCAGATTGAACACGTGAGCCATGCATGGCGCATGGCACAACCTTCCTTGACGCAGAGCAGACACCATGTTCTTTCCGTTGTCGGTCAACATGGTTCCGATTTTCAGTTTGCGCGGAGACAGCCATCTGTCGATTTCTCTGTTCATTACACTCAGAAGTTCCTCCCCTGTGTGACTACGTTCGCCAAGGCATACCAGGTGCAGCACAGCGTGACACCGTTGCGCCCTGCACATGTGATATGCCGGTCGGGTAATGGGACTTGGCACGGGGGGGGTGGCGGCTGAGGACACGGCGGAAGAAGAGGTGGTAGAGGCGGACATCTTTTGTGGACCAAGGACGTGCAAACGTGGAGGCAAAAGCGGCGTGACCTGTCCAAGTTGCTGGTGCGGCTGTGCCGGCACCCACGTTCACCCAGTGGGCCGTAAATGACATGTACTGTCCCTGACCGTAGTTACAGCTCCACACGTCGGCGCTGCCGTGCACTTTGGCAGAGACCGACATGCTCAAAGACTGGCCCACCATCTCTTCTACATGTGAATGCAGGGCTGGCACTGCCTTTTTGGCGAAGAAATGCCGGCTTGGCACTCTCCACCGCGGCGCGGCACAAGCCATCATTTCTCGGAAAGGTGCTGAGTCCACCACTTGGAAAGGGAGGGACTGCAGCACCAGCAAACTTGGACAGGAGGACGTTCAGCTTTTGCACCGTCGGGTGCGTGCTCGCAAACTGTTGTCTCTTGGAAACGGATTCCAAGAAAGACTGCTGACGGAATCCGTGAAGAGGAGTAGCAGCAGGAGAAGGAGCATCTGAACGAGCGGAAGATGCCAACGAGCGACAACTCCCCTCAGCAGAGGTGTTGGAGCCTTGACTGGCTGATAGAGGGCGATTGACGTCGGGTGACGGAGCAAGTAACGGAGCGGGTGATGGAGCGGGGGCTGGGGCAGGCAGAACCGCCGTATCTTTATCACGGTTTTCCCAGGCCACCAAATGGCGACGCTGCATATGCTGACGCAACGCTGTAGTCCCAACATGGGCCCCCTGGCCACGCTTGACTTTCTGGCCACATAGTCGACATACGGCTACGTTTACTTCCTCGGGCGGCTTGACGAAAAAATTGCCACACCGCCGAGTAGGAAACTTTGCCCCCGATACTCCTCACTGGCTGACTGCTACTTCCTCCGCACACCGGCACCACTACTGGCCGTGGTGGTAGGCTGCAGTGGAGCTGGTGCTCTACTCCGTGGCCGTTTGCCTCCACTGACACTGCTGCGACCCTGCTGCCTCCTGGGCAACCCACCGACTGTTTTGCTCGCTGCCAAGCTGGCCACCCTCTTCTCCTGATGATGCGGAAGCAAATAGCCTGATGACGACGAGGCTGCCAAGTGCGATCAGCCTCATCATCATCAATTAGGGTCTCCGCCTCACTACTAGCCCCCTCGGCTGCGTGTGGGTCAGGAGACAGACCTGTCTCTAGACCGGCTACCGAGCCACTCTCTCTCGCCAGTACTTCTTCGCCTGGCTGCTGAAGAGGCGGATGTCTCCCCCCGTTCCTGACCGCCCTCTGTTAGCTCTTCCTCACTGTACAGTGGGGCTGAGCCCACAGCATGCGATACTTCGCTTGGTGAGGGAACACCAAAGGACAGGGGCAGGTAGAGGACACGTGATTTCAGTGGGCTTGCTCCCGGGCCATGCAACTAACGGTTGTGTCTGACGTACCCACCGACCGTTGGCTGTAGGTGTCAGAGGTGACCTGGGAAGAGGAAGACGACCGAGCCAACCAATCGATGACGGCAGGGTTGTCGGTGGAGACACGACCGCTGGATGACACCGGGAGCACTGGCCTCTGGCTGCGACTAGTGCTGCCTCGACCCCTTCCTCTGCTGCCACGTCTGCTCGCTCCCTAAAACATTGCCTCCTCTGCCACTCCTCTGCATGTTGTCTGACATACTCTTTAATTCAACGATTCTGTGTCCCTGAGTAACAATTCTGTGTCCCTGAGTAACAATTCTGTGTCTGTCCCTGAGTAACAATTCTGTGTCCCTGAGTAACAATTCTGTGTCCCTGAGTAACAATTCTGTGTCCCTCAGTAACAATTCTGTGTCCCTCCCTGTAACAATTGTGTCTGTGTGTCTGTCCCTGAGTAACAATTCTGTGTCTGTCCCTGAGTAACAATTCTGTGTCCCTCAGTAACAATTCTGTGTCCCTCAGTAACAATTCTGTGTCTGTCCCTGAGTAACAATTCTGTGTCCCTGAGTAACAATTCTGTGTCCCTCAGTAACAATTCTGTGTCTGTCCTGAGTAACAATTCTGTGTCCCTCAGTAACAATTCTGTGTCCCTGAGTAACAATTCTGTGTCTGTCCCTGAGTAACAATTC